ATTATGTGAAGAAATATTTTTATAACCCAACATACCGTTTAGCACGAAATTTTGTAGGAGTTTATTTTTGCGGATTGCCGATTTTTTGCGTTTTGCGGGAACTAATTTTTGCGATTTTGGACAGAGTGGTATTTCTTTCGTTTGTTTTTTTTACAGGATGTTGCAATTATTAATTACAAAAAATGAATGGTTAAACAGACAAATTAAAAAAATAACCAAATAACAGATTGAAATAACTAAGCAACTCGAGCTCGTTTGCGGCTAAAGGCTAAAGGATTCAGGGACACTTGAAGGCTCTATAAATAATTTATATATTTCAGAAAAGCTTTAAAGGCTAAGGAACTATATGGTTCGCTTTCTTTGGCTGCGGTATAGATATAAAAACGAGCAACTATCAAGCAAGGATTAAACGTATAGAGGGATCGATTCTCAGCGATATATCCGTCAATCTTATCGTTATTGGTCAAGGACACTGAGGGCGAGTTATTATCGTTCCACCATCAGGTAAAAAGGTTCCAGAAGAAGTGGACATGCTGGCATTCTACAAACAGATACCCTACGGTCTGCTTCAATTTACACACACGACAGGAATCACGGTCAGTAATTTTGGCCTTGAAAAGTTTGTCGCGAGTGTATAGGATGTGATGGTTTATTTTAAACTGAAACATAGAAAGCTTTATGTTTTTTGTCAGCTTGAATGGAAGAACGTATAATGCCGCAAAAGTCTGATCTGTGAAGCCAGCCTCAACAAGACGAACTTCTGATGTAGGTTTTTGGAAAGTTTTAGATACATAAAACGCGCGTGCTTGCCGGCAAGTGGGAGGTGAGTTCTTAAATAGCTGAACTGACTCATCCGAAACTACCAAGTCATTTTCCTTATCACGTCTAAAGACTTCCCTCCAATGCTTTGGTATTTTTTTACACAAGCCAATACAGCACAGAAAGTTTGTGTTAATTTTGTACTTCTCCTTGAATTCTGTAAACGTCAAGAACTTTCCTTCCTTGTCTAGGATGTCTGGCAAGGTCGTTACGCCAGCATCGTACCAAAAAAACAGATTTGCCGCCGATAGTGACTTCATGATTATTCCAAAAGATCTCATTTTTGATTTCGTTCTTTGTCCTTGCTGTGTGCTTGGATATGCTCTCCCAAGCACTGAGAACGACTCGGTAAAAAAGCGGCAGGAGAGGGAGCTCGGGTAAAGTTCTTAACGAACAATTACATTTAAACAACAACGGGCCACCCACACTGTCTAAAAGGCTAAACGGTATTGTCTTCCAAGATTGCGCTTGAGGGTCTAAAAAACGTTTCACCCACCCTGCCTTCAAAGATTTATCTATTATATCGAAATAAGGCATGCTGAGTCCGCCGTCATTTATCCTTCCAATCGTTGTTGAGCGCTTGATTTTGGGTGGTTTGTGGTTCGCTTGATTTTGGGTGGTTTGTGGCTCCATATAAAGTTGGATAGAGATTTGTTCAGTTGATCGACAAAACCAGTGTGAACGCTGAGAACAGAGGAAATGAAAATTATTTTTGAAAGAGCTAAACTTTTGATAATGGTTATTTTTCCAAAGAGTGCTAAATCTCTAGAGGACTAGACGCTAAGACACTTTTCCAGGGCGACAAACTTTATTTCAAAGTTATCTTTTGTTGAAGCTTCCGAATCACATGAGAAAGAAACGCCTAGACAAACGCACTTCGTGGGCCAGTTTATGTTGAAAAGGTTTGTCGATTGTGGTCTAGTTTTTCCCAACCACAATGCCTCCGTTTTTTATCTATTCAGCTCTAATCCGCAACGCCCTCTAAAAGCCTCTAACTTCTCGAAAAGGTTTTCAACTGACTTTCCGTGGCGCACCAAGCATGAGGTGTCATCCGCGTATTGAGATAACTTATACTCCCTGCCTTTGACATTTATACCCGTTATCAATTTGTCGTTTCTTATTGAATTTGCTAAAATTTCAACAGCAATTACAAAGAGTACACCAGAAAGCGGGCAGCCTTGCCTTATACCGCGCTCTAATTCGACAAACGACGTTGCATAACCAATATCTATAACGCAGTTTTGAATATTGCTTTAAATAGTATTGACCCACTGTATTAAAGAAGGGCCGAAATTAAACGTCTCTATAAAAGCCTTTTTAATAAAGTTCCACTCTAAAGTGTCAAAGGCTTTTTTGAAATCTAAGAACAACGCTATACCTGGATTTTCTAGCGTTTTTGTGCACTCTGTAATGTCTGCTAAAAAAGGTATGTTTTGACCAGTAAAACGGCCTTTGATATATCCCGTCTATCCTCATGTATAAGGCTGGGTAGCTGCATTTTCGCAATTCTTACTGCGATTGACTTAGTGGCAACTTTATAGTCTGTGTTCAGAAGCGAGATAGGCCTCCAATGATCCAAAAGAGACCTGTTTTTGTCTTTCTTTGGAATAAGAGTGATGATACCTCTCTTTTAAAAAATAGGCATTTCACCCTTCTCAAAAGCATAATTAAAGCTGTCAACTAATTCTTGCCCTAATAACTTACAAAAGGAAAAAAAAAACTCCGCAGTTAAGCCATCCGTACCGGGAGACTTGCCTTTGGAAAAACTTTTAAGTCAGGCATAACATTCTACTTTTGTTAAAAGACCGTCGCAGCTGTCAGCTTGGTGTGGAGACAGCTGTGGAAGGGTTGAACTGTTGAAAAACACGTCAAAACGAGGATCATTTGGGTTTGTACGAGAAGAAGTGTCAAGCCTTTTAGAGAGTGGTTTTTCTTGCTGGGAATTACTTTTTGCGGTTTTCTGAAAGTACCCAGTACCCAGCATTGATAATATTTTCTAAATTTTCGTTTTCAGTGAGAACGTGCAACAGAAATAGATATTTTCAAACAAATAAACCAGTATTTCATTATATACCGTTTTGTTTCTGAATGAAAGAGACAAGTTGTGATTGAACAGACACGATTTCTTAGCACTGTTTTCTTTGTGTAGCGAATTAAAGTTAGAGAATATTTACTCTGGAGAAAATTCTTGCGGGAAAATGTTTGCGGTAATTTTTATTTGCGGGAACTATTTTTGCGGATCGCTGAAAAAATTGTAAAAATTAGAACCCGCGAAAATTTCGTGCCACACGGTAGGTTGAGCGACAGAAGATATTCTTCATCAAACAAGTATGGTATGGAGGAAATGAACTTGCTCTTTTCCATAGAAACGTCTGTAAAACTTCGCGACTTTCTGGAGCTATATTCATTGGTTAGTTTTCAACAAATCACACTAACTTTAACTTAGCAACTTAAGTGATTTTAGTGTGTTCTTTCCAGTGGTGTTGACGGATTTTTTCAAATGGTCGCAATCAAAACAGTTGAAGTACGTGGGAGGGTCTATTTTTTATGTTGAAATGGCTTGTGATCGGCTCATTTTTTTTCCTAGACTGCCAAACAGTTTCTTTTTCTTTCAAAAAATTAAACGCTGCTACTAAGACACAGAGCACCGTGGACGACGAGCATTTTTGGCGTGTGTCGCACGCGAGCCCCACACGCAAATTAGTCACTCTATTCAGTATCACTCCGTTTTCACTCTCTGTTGGTTGAGTGACAAACGCAAAAACAAAGCTGTTTGTAGCCTGTGTACAGACGTCCCCCGATTTTTTTCTGAGGGAGGGGAGACGTCTGTACACAGGCTAAGCTGTTTGGTGTCTATAGTTTTCCCTGAATACAATGAAGCCTTATTAAAATAGAAAACTTTACCATACCGAACCATTTTGAGCATTTTAGGGGTACAGTGTATTGCTGTTAGTCGCGTCAAAAACTGTACTAGCCTGTTTCAGACTCTCAGATAGTAGGGATGGCACCTAAGTGAAAGGCACGCGGAAATATGAACCTGTCATCTGGGGAAAAGGGAGCGTGTTCGCACTTTCACAATTTCGCGGACCCGACTATTTTGGAGCCTCGAACAGTCTTAGCTGTACTAATATGATGCTAACCATAAACTGACTATAGACTTATAACGCGTCACAATTTCAACATGCGTTGTTAGAGAAAGATACCTGTAGGATGCTGCTGGATTGTGGATTCAGTTTGCTGAGAGGTACTGACAGTATACATTCCCCTTTTGGTTGGTGTTGAGCTCTGGTCGTCGCACAAAGCTCCTGGTGAAGAAAAATCGTTGGTTGAGACGCGGGAAACATCATGTATATCTATTTTAGTTAACATTGTCGTACTTAAAGGCCTCACGCGTACTCGATAAGACCTCAAGGTCATGTGGGTAGCTGTAAATTCTTTGTAATTTGGTCACAAGTTCGGGGTTGACACTAAAGTGCCACTCAATGGTATAAAACGTCACAAACGTTTACCTTCTTCAGGGTTTAGTTAATTTTTACATGGAATTACCCATATTAATTTGCGGTCTCCTCGAACGATAATCAAAATAGCTGACTGAAGATCGACAACTGAACAGCATATTGAAGGTTGAGTTGGATGGATTTACTAGCACATTTCCTTCTTTTAATAGACTGTGATTACGTACAAAAGAATGAATTGACCTAAAGTCAACTCTATCAGGCGCATGTGCAGCGCTCTACGCGTCTCATGATGAATGTTTTTTCATTTCGCCCCATATAAGGTAATCCAAGAAAGTCTTTGATCCTGGATTCCACGCTGTGGATTCTGGACTCCAGATACTGAATTCTGGATCCTTGTCAGTTGAGTTTGGATTACGGATTTTAATTGCTGCGGGATTCCGGATTCCTGGGGATGAGTTCCGGAATCCAAGAGTTAAATTCCAGAATACAAAACCCAAAATTCCGGATTCCACCAGCAAAAGACTTCCCGGATTGCATTGGTGGGGCGACTCATTAAAACCAAAGTGAAGCAAAGAGTGGAATAGGTCAGCTTTAAATAAAGAAGAACATTTTAAAAATTGAATGTTTTTTACATTACCTGCATGGTTCTCACCTAGCTTCCGCTTCCTCGGATTATCGTGTTGAGCCTCAGAGAGACCGTCCACTGAAAGAATCAGCCAAAGACATCATTAGCGTTTTTTGTCTTACTCTTAGTCGATACGCAATTTATAGCTAAGGAAAGAATGTATAATCTGAATTTTTGACCAGAAAAGACGCACAACTAACTCTCAAAGTACTAAACTTAAAGTTGAGCGTCTAAAAGCTGAGGTAACGACCCCAATCCTCACAAGTGCTTCTTTCTAACTCTTAATTTCACGCCGCTTGGCAATGAAGAAGGAATAGTAAAACGGAAGAAAAATATTGACGAGCCTTCTGATCTCGCATCTAAACTTCCGCACTGTCTCACTCAATACACATTCAAGACTTCTTTTACTGACGGCAAATTCGGCCATTACCCCTGCGCCTAATCATCACACACCAAACTGACAAGAATTTATACCTGAGTAATGAGTGCGGAAAACACTAGGATCACTTAAAATGTGTGAGACAAGAGATGCTGCCATCATACTAGCACAGGCCTCCCAACTTTCTGCAGTCGCTTGCTCACCATCCGCAAAATCAGCTATCCCTTTAACAATGAGCCACTCGAGTTGAGAATCACGTGCAGCGGTGAAAACACCTGAAATATGGAATACAATTAGGAAGTATATCCTTTTTAGGAAATCAAGTCTTGCGGATTAAAGAAACTAAAGAATTAATTGCCTTGCGTATAAACTGCATGTGTAAATTCCAATAATTTTTGACGATTTTACTAACTTTCGCAAAAAATGTTTTTTTCTGATTACAACCTGGAAGTAAACCAACCAGAGACAAGAAAACGCCAAACCAAGAGATGCAATTGACCCCGACGAGAGCCAAGTACGACATGTACAGATTATGATTTTCACGCCCTTTCTTTTGATTTACCAACTGTAATCTTTCTTACAATGAATATGTTTTATTCAATTACCTCATTGTTATTAGCGAAAATTCCGTTGAAGTTCCGTTAAGGTATATGCAAGTTTGCAGCTATAAAGCTCCGCACTCTTGATCGAAAGCTGTTTGTTTCGAAGGTCTCCAGACTATCCCAAATCAGACTTAAAACAACAGAGACAAATGTTCCCCCTTTTTTTAGCGATTACATGTGCGCCTCCTGTTTAATTTTACTCTATAATTGTTGCGCGAAAATGGCGCCAAGTGTATATCAGTTATTGCAGTCAAGTGTGTAAACACCTAAAAATCTAATATCCAATAAATCCAACCGCTAATACTTAAAGTAATTACGATGTACGTATTCAAGATAAATATTTTCGTCGCTCTTTCAATAGCCTACGTGGCAGGAGCCAGGTAGTTTTTTCGGTCCGTTTTTTTAGAGCGCGCGAGAAAAAAACACGCGAAGGCTGGGAAGAGGACGGCCTTCACGCCTTCTCTCCGGTCGTAGGCGCGCATCCTCCCTTCATTCTAAAAAAAAAGGCGCCTGCAATACTTTTTCAAAATCTTTTAGTCATGCATGTATCCCACAACAGGTGTCAAAAAGCCTACCTGCTGAGACTGCAAAGCAAAACGACTAATAGTCATTTTTCGAATTAACAATTACCGCTAACTTACAAACATTAACGACACATTCATGCAGCGTTGGCCTCGGCATAAAGTAAAATATTCACAAATTTCGGCAAGTGAGTGTGAATATTACAATACACAATAAACAGAGTAATAAATAGATCTTCTTCTCGTTGGAATTTGCGAATATAGTTACTTCTGGTGGAGACTAACCCTGTAAAAATTGCGTCTTCACTTCTTTTATTCAGCGGACATAGCGTACTCAAAACTGGACTCCAGGGTATTTTATACTGAAATATTAATCCATCCCAGCCATGAAGGTAAACGTCTGCGCCTTTTTAAAGCACTCTATGGTACTGTTAGTCGCACCTTTATGACCGAATTACAACTGAAGGATCTTAAACAACCAACATAACCTTGTGTCCTTGTGGCGCAGGCTAGCCTACGTAGGAGCAGGCTCTCCTATTTGGGCGAGCGAAGCGATTCGCGAGGGGCCGCCCCCTTTTCTCGCGCGTGCCCCTCACGCGTCTTCTTTTCACGATATCCCCTAAATGGAGAGCTTACTCGCAGCCTAGGCGTAGCCTTGAGACCTTTATACGACAAAGTTAATTGAAGTAACTGTATAAGAACGCTATTGTTCAAAGCTAAAGTGACATGCACTCACCTTCGCCCTCCATCTCTACTCCTGCCACGAGGGGATGGCGGTCGACTAGTTCCTTTCGACGCCATTGAGCTCTGATCTGCTCTGGGCCACTTAAGAACTCGCCATTGCAGTGAACTTTGATCTGACGATCTTCTGGGTTCTTTAAAGGTGCCTGCCATCCATCAGCGCAGTTCGGTATTATTTTTGAGAAACGCCTGCTCACGTGACTACTCATGCCAGCTGACTGCTCTTGGTCGCTTGTCACCACTTTGGATGCATATGTTGTTAGTTTGGCTGATACAACAACGTCTCCTAACTTGGTTTTATCAGGATTGAGACCACTGCATACCCCAACAGATATCACGGCCTTGGGTTGTAAAA